CAGGAGCATTTCAGTTCCTCGGTTCTCTGACTCTGACTCTCGCCTATCTGCGCTGAAGGCCTGTCTTGAACTCTGGCTTCATTATTACGGAGAGTGTGAATTATCTCCAGGCTTCAGAAGAAGGTGCTGTTGACACAGACTCAGAGCCGGGCACTACTGGTTGGTTGTATTTTCAACTTTTATTCTTAAAACCCGAGGTTGAGAAATAATTGCAGGATTTAAAGATCTATGTACCCAAGCCTCAGTCACAAGGGGATGACTAATACCAGCAAGAATTGCAGCAATTTTTAGACTGGGTTCAGAAAGGCAGCGAGTCCCGGGAACAAAAGGCAAGTTCAAAGCTYTGAGGGGAGTGAGGCTGACCTTTGCAGAACTCAGTGGACTAGCCCACCTGGTCCCTCTTCCTCTGAGTTCAGGGGCCTGTGGGTTGCCTCCCCAAAGGAAGCATGTCGCCTTGTGGGAAGTGGGTGTGGCTGCCTTCTGGGGCAGTTCTGGAACAAGGGMCAGTCTTCTTTGGCCCCCTGAGTTACCTGATTGAGGGCAGACCAGGCTCCCTGCTTCAGCCCACCTGGAGGCCCCTGGCTACCCTTTCCTACAGCCAGGTCACCCTCCTGGCCTGCTGCTCCCTGGACAGTGCCTCTCTGGTGCTGTCCCCCTGAGGGGAACCCTGAGGACTGACTCTGAAGCAGGCTGTCCACTCTAGAAGCCTCTTTTTTTTTTTTTTTTATTGGTTCTAGAAGCCTCTTGATCCCTAGAGAAACACGCTACATATAGACAGGTGTGTCCCACCACAGGTGACCCATGAAGACATTGAGGAGCAGAAAACATGGCAGCAGGGAGGCAGACACTCTGGGGACCCACATCTTCCTTCTCCTCTTTCTCCCACTCTTGCTGGGTCCCTCCTTCCCCAATCAACCAGAAATCTGCTCCCTTTACTCTGTGGAGCTCAGAGGAGCCTCAAGTCCAGCTATTCCTCTAGCCTATGGCCATCTCCACTTCCCACTCTAACTGTCCTTCCTGCTCCTAGGGCRCCCACTGAGCCAACTTGGCCTCCAGCTGTCCTGAAGCATCCCACAAAGCCAGGATGCTCCATGTGGCCACAGGACCTCCAGGCCCTAGTCCCACCTGCATTTTGTGGTGTCCCCACCCCTGCCTCTGCCTTGGTGGTTCCCTCTGCTGAGGTCCCCACCCCAGCTTGGCCTTGGACAGGTTCCCACCTTGGTTTTCAGTCCTGGGGGCCCTCTGGCCCTTTAGAAAGAAGTTTCAGGTAAGGCCTCACTAAATTGCTGAGGCTGCCTCAAACTGCCTGGGCATCTTGGATTGCTGGAATCCCGGGCATACACCCTGCGTCCAGCTTCCCTGTCTTTAGGTGTGGAACAGCCATGGTCAATGTCACAGCTGCAAGCCACGGGTGGCTGCAGCACTGGGATGGGACTGGTCCCCAGTGACACTCGTCATTGGTGTAATGTGCATGCTGGGTGTAGACTGGAAAAAGTCCCTGTAAAACCTCTCTTATACTGATTATGTGTTTGAATAACATTTTGGATTTATTGGGGAAAATAAAGCATATTATTAAAACATTTTTTTCCAGTTTCTTTTCTTTTCACTAAGTTGCCCAGGCTGGTCTGGAGTTCCCGAGCTCACACAACCCTGGGGCCCCCTGACTACAGATGCAGCCACAAGCCTGGCTTCTCCTTGTTTTTATTCTATTCTGCTCTATTTATTTATTTATCTTTGGCACTGGAGACTGAACCCAGCAGGGCTTAATACTGAGCCACTTCCCCAGCTCTTTTTATTTTATATTTATTTTGAGACAGGGTCTTGCCAAGTTGCTTAGGGCCTCGATAAGTTACTGAGGCTGGCTTTGAACTTGCAGTCCTCCCGTCTCAGCCTCCTGAGCTGCTGGGATTGCAGGCGCACTGCCATGCCTGGTATGTGTCACTAGAGTGGACGGTGCAGTGGGCTTGCATTGTAGCTGGCGGGCTCTGCTGTTCTACTTCCATCTCAGTGTGCCTCTGCTGCCGGGAGCCTGAGCACAGTCCTCCCTGCCTAAGTCCCTGTGCCTGGCACTGCCCAGACACTCTGAAGATGCCAGGTGCTTGCCAGAGAGCCAGGGAAGCCCTTGATTTGCACCCTCTTTCTGCTGGGGGTGGCTGCGGGTCATAACAGCAGGTGGGCTTGCCTTCCTCTGGTGCAGGTATCACAGATGAGAGTGTTTGTGGGGCTCTGTGGGAGCTGGGTCTTCTGCCAAGGAGGGGCCACCTTTCCTGTGCCCCGGGGCTCTCTAGTGGAAGAGCAGGTCACAGCACTGTCCTGGCTCTGGCAGGAAGCAAACCTGAGTTCAGTTATTCTGGATTCAGCATTGTTTTTTAAACAAAACTTTGGCTTGGYGTATGTTTCATTTATAGAAAGTGATACTTAGTGGTGGAGTCAGACAGACAATGAAGTTGTTCCAGAGCTTTGTGTTTTCCCAGCAAACCAGCCACTTCTGCTGCCTGTGGTGCTAACCTGTGAATTCAYAGGCTCCCAAGGTCCAGGTGGTCCACAGCTCTAGGCTAGTTGGATGACTGTCCTTGAGAAGCTGTAGGACCTCCAGGGAGAAGAGGGATGTGYCTCAACTACGTGAGAACAGGCCTCCTCAGGTCATATCCAGGCAGAACATGCTGGCCTGCWCTGCCCCTGTGCTAATGGATTTGGGTCCTGGTGTTGGCGAGGAGACCATCTTTCCTAGAACTGAAAATCAAGCTCTTCTCTGGGCCAGCTGGAGGTTCAGGCTGGACCTGTCATGGCAACCCCCTACTGATCCATAGCATCGCCTGGCTCAGTGGCAGGGCCTTGGGCTTCCAGGACCCCCCCTGCTGAGGTCCCTGGGACAAAGTAGAAAGGTCAGGACCCCTGCTGGACCATCCGCAGGGCAAGTGGAGTCATTGGTGGCGCTGTAGTGTCAAGGTTAGACACTCTTAAAAAGTGCATGGTCATGAGGGAAGGCAGGCAGTGAGGTGGGCGCTCCAGAAGACAAACTTCAGACGAGTCACTGAAGGTAATCTGTGGTTCTGGGGCCAACAGGGAAAAGTTGAGCAGGAACTGTGAGCGAATGGGGATCGGCAACCACTCTGGTGCCTGCAGTTACGTCAACAATTGACTCTGAGCTCAGTCCAAAGGAATGAATAGCCAGGTACAGTGGCCACACCTGTGATCCTCGAGACTTGGGAGGTTGAGGCAGGAGAACCACACATTTGAATCCAGTCTCCACAACTTAGTGAGATCCTGTCTCAAAATAAAAAAATAAAAAGTGTGGGAGACCAACATTACACATGACTGAGTCACACTCCCTGGCTGGGTGCTGAGGCGCTCAGTCACAGAAATGTGACAGAGCTTTCCCCACCCTTCTTGGATTCAAGGGTAGGTGTCTCGTGCATGGGTGTGTCTTGCTACAGCCCCATGGGTGGAGCTACGCTCACCTGTTCCTTTGTAATCTAACCCCTTGCCCTGTTTAGGATAGAATCTTCCATGGAAGTGCCTTGTTGTGTGTGTCCCTTTCTCTAACTGTGCCCTTGGGTGTGGCCTACCCAGGTGTCAGTCAACCTGCTGACAGTGGACATCATGAAGATAGACTCAGCCCCCTGAAACTGACCCCTTGCCTCATTTGAATAGCWTCTCCTCAATAAAAGGGGTCAGCAGGGTCAGCATGTGCTCTCACTCTCTATTCCTGCGGACCCTTAAGGTCAGAGGAGCCGTCACAGCGACCCCAAAGAAAAAGGTATTTGTGTCTCCTGTGGGTTATTTTGCGCAGCCCAGTCAGCCCAGTTCAATTGGCTCAGTAAACCCTGAGCCTTTTAGTCACAAGCGAGAACAGAAACCCAGCAAAAAAGAACTGGGGATGTGGCTTGGGTAAAGTGCCCTGGGTTCACTCCCCAGTACAACAACAACAACAACAACAAAACAGGATAAGCACAAGGCAAGGTGTGGGAATTGGCTCTTGACAGAAGGGGGTTCTGCAGGTGCCCAGAAGGTGAGGCTCCAAGGAGGAGTTTCTTCAGCTGGACCTCATGGGCACACAGYCAAAGAAACCCCTTTGGACGTGTGTGTGTTCTGTGTGTGCAGTGCTGGGGATGGAACTCGGCGAGCATGCTGGCCAAGTGCTCTGCCACTGAGCTGCATTCAGTGTGACTCAGCGCAGGCTTGTGGAGGCCTCCTGTGCTGAGGCACGGTGCTAAGCTGCAGCCTCTGGACCAGGCTCCCCCAGTGCTGCCAGCCCTGGGGACGCTGGGTGGTGAGGTGGGCCTGGTGGCCACAGTCAAAAACCAAATACAAATCTGAGGGCAAAGACACCTTTTTTAATAGGAATGCAGCTTTGAGGAGTACTGACAAACCTTGAAGACACGGATACAACTGGATCGTAAACAGCATCCTTGCCAGCACAGGTAGGTAATTGAGAGAAAACACATACAAAAATCAAAGGACAGACCCAACTTCATAGTTATCCCGACAATAATGATTGCTTCCAGGGTTTCCTCATATTCATTTTTGTGCTTTTAGTCTAAGAAGTTAGAAAGAATARTAAATCTGTCAAGTCTGATACCAAATTGTACAAAATTGTCCAGACCTATGGAGGAGAGGCGAGATGATCATTTTACAAAACATTGCTGCTATGATCACCAGCATCCGTTTMCATTTTCCTTTCCTGGACTTTCAAGACTCCTTGGCAATTTTACCAGGAAAATAACATGCATCAAATAGAAAACACATATTCTTTATGTAACATATTCTTACTGGGTGGTATAGGTCATGAAAGTTAAAAAAAAAAAAAAAAGGTTTTGTCCTTCCTTGTCAAAATATAGGCATTAAAACAAACCACAGGAAGCCCATTTGGCCAGCACACATGATGGAGTCAGCCAGACCCCTGCAGGACAAAGGACACAAGAAGCGCAGAGCCCCTCGGGTCTGACTCTGGCAATGCGCTCAGGACAGGCAGGCCTGTGGACATGCCAAAGGCCTGGCGAGTCCCCAGAACCTGTGCACCACCACTGCCCTGGTGCAGCTCAATATCTTTGGCCATACGACCTATCTTTAAAGCTGAAAACTATTAAAAAATATTTTGGCCAAGAATAGTGAACATTTTACAACGAAAAACTGAAAGCATTTGTTCCCTTAAACCTCATGGTTTGCGATGCTGGTTTTGGTTTTGACTGTGACCTTAGTGAGCACCCTGAAACCATGCAGCCACAACCCCCTTACGCTGTGCGGGAGGGTCTCACCACATGGCTACTTAACTGCAAGACGTTAGCTTTCTCTTCTTCCATGACTCAATCCCGACAAAGCCTTACTGTCCCGATGGGCCTGTGGCAGCCACTCTTCTGAGCAGAGCCTCCCAAGCCTAGGCACATGAAGCAGATGTTCTAGACATGGCAGTGGACACCTGTGAATGTCACACACACTGTCCCAGGACTGCCTCAACATCCAGGGGACTCCTGAGCAGCCCCACTGGCTCAGTGGGTGGCACAGGACAAAGGGATAGACACCCAAGGAGCCCTGCTTCCTTCTCTTTAGGCCATCAACTTACCCTATTTGCAGATGAAGCCCCACCCTACTTCTGTGAATAAATGAAACCCAAATTAGACCAGTTTTCAAACCCTAGGGGGCCTCTCAGCTGCACTAAGTCACAGCAGGACAATTAAAGCAACCAGAGGGGTCCTGTCAGGGAGCCAGAGTGGAGGAGGGCAGGGCCAGGGTGAGGGCAGAGCAGGATGAAGGGCAGCCCRGCCATGTCTCCTGGCTGTTTTCATCTAGGATCTATAACTGCATAAACCATGGTGAAAACCTGGCCTCGTGACAGTCATTCCCCAATGGCCGTCTCTCGACCATGGTGGCTTCCTTAAGAACAAGTCTGGCTCTAAAAGATCAGCTTCTCCAACAAAATGGAATGCCTTCCAGTGCTGGTACTGGAASTACCTTGTCAGGAAAGCTTTAGGAGGACGGTAAGCCAGAGCGCCTTGTCTAGGCAGCAGGCAGCAAGCATGTACTCAGGTCTTCCTGGTGGCTGCTTCCCACTCAGCAGAAGCTCAGGGTCCAGACGCTGCCCCTGTGCCTGAGGGCCTGTTAACCTAGGGTAGCAGCTGGCTTTGGGCTCTCGGTCACACAGGTCCTGGGAACAGTGTGTGTGACATTCACAGAGGGTTCAAGTGTGGGTGGGGTTCTGGGTGGGAGCTGAGGACCTGAAGACACTTGGGGCTTGCTGTAGAGGTAGAAAGACGTGCAGCAGGCAGGGTGAGCAGCTCAGAGAGCAGAGGAACCTGGCTGGTCCACCCCTCTGCTGATTACAGGTAGAAAAGACTGGGTATTGCTGATTTGGAGAATCATACCCATCAGAACTGTCAAATGCCCACAGGACGTGGGAATGGAGTCCACAGGCTTTTAAAAGAAAACAAACCATGAAACTGAAAGTAACCAAAAAGCAACATGGCATGGTGGCCGGTGATGGGCACCRAGGTTCTGAGAAATGGAGGCTGGCCACAGGTGCCAACAGAATGTGTGGTAAGGGAGGGACACACGATCTTASTTCCTATGTGGTGGCAGCCCCCGAGGGCAGAGTGAATTCTGGAGAGCTGAAGCACACAGGCAGGCAGCTAATGGTAAACTGAGGCCCAGCCGTGTGAGCCCTGGGCAAGCTGCGGGTCATCCCAGGATCGGGACGTAACAGGATTTATAAAATGATAAAAAAGCCCATATTTTCAAAGATATAATTTATAGAATATTCTGTACAAAAGCAGTCTTTAAAAGGGACTCTGTTCTCAGAAGAAGTCCGCAGCCGTTGGCCTTCTCTTTTGAGTGGCAGCCAGCAGCTTCTTGGTTTCCAGGGGAGAGCTGGTGGGGGTCTTCAGCACTCCATGGAGGGGCCTCTGCTCAGGGTTGAAGGCCACTCGGGAGAGGCCTGTGGGGCTGACCAGGATACTCTTGTCCGTCTTCTTGAATTCTGTCCCAAAGGAAGGTTAGGCCATGTTAACCAGGTGATGCCTGTCCTTCAACCTGCCTTGGGCTGCTGGGTGGTCTTCCTGCAGGCCCTGAGGACGCAGAGGCAGCAAGGTGCTCCAGTGCCAGGCAGCTGCCAAGGGAGCTCTGGGGGAGGTGGCTGGAATGCTGGGCAGTAGGCGCCTCTGGGAGAAGCACAGCTGCGGGTACAGGAGCAGCCCTCCTCCCCACTCCACAGACCAGGCTGGGTCACAAGGCAGGACGTGTCCTTGTGGCCTAAGAGGCAGATCCTTTTATTCTTTCTTTTGGGTACTGGGAGTTGAACCAAGAGGCGCCTGACCACTGAGCTACATTCCCAGTCCGTTTATTTTTGAGACAGAGTCAGTCGCCCCCTAAGTTGCCCACGCTGGGCTTGAACTTGTGACTCTCCTGCCTCTGCGTAGCTGGGATTACAAGCGTGTATGAGCCACTATGTGCATTTCATGATCAACTTTTTAAAACATGGTTTTGGCTGTGGTGCAGCTCAGTGGCAGAGCACTTGCCTGTCACACAGGAGGCCAGGCTCCAGTCCCAACAGTGAAAAACTGAACACCACAAAAAACTTGCAGCCAGCAAGGCGGGGCCATCCCTCCTCCCTCTCCCAGTCTGAGTAGGACAACTGCAGCTGGCCTTTTGTCTCGCCTGCGCCCTAGCACTTGGCAGCCCTGAAGGTGAGGGGCACACAGTGGGTGTTGGCAGAGGTGAGGAGGGGCCTCCACCTCAGCCCCCAGTCCCAGATTTTCCAGGCCTGTGGAGGCAGCCCTGCCTCTCTTCAGGGGACCCTGAGCTGGCTCCAGCTGTGCCGYCTGAAAGAAATGTTTCCAAGAGGAAGCCCCGACTTACCTGCAGTGGTATTTCTGTTCAACCCAAAGGTGACTTTCTTGGCACTGCTGGTTGTTCTGTCCAGCTGCAGGAGAACAAAAGGCACACTGTGCTGCAGCGGGTGCCTCCTCCTTGAATGGGCTCTTTGGGACTCGCCCAGGAGGGAGGCCCCAGCTTGTCTGCAGAGACCAGAGGGCCAGTAGCACCACAGCCCACATCGACGCCTGCTCTGTGTCTGCAGACCCTGCCACCACTCATCCTGGCCTGGACCACTCTCTCCCAGCACACAGCTTGCCCAGCTGGAGGACGGTCACCTGGCTCAGTCCTGGCCACATGGCAGTGTTCCCAGGGAAGGAAGCAGAACAAGATCAGGACATCTGAAGTCTATGGGATACATGCTCGTGACCCCCACTTGTTTTGTCCCAGAGTTTGTAATTTTTAATTTGCAGATTATACAAARTCAATTAGAATAGACCTACAATGGAATCTAATACCACTGGGCAATGAATGCAAATTATCTAACTTCTATTCCTGAGAACTTTAGATCATCAAAATTAATAACATTCTTTCCTACTTGAGAAACTCCTTAGAGGCTGCTCCATTCTGATTGTGAAGCGCTGCCTCAAAGCCTTCCTAGAGCCCGCCTCCATGTTTCTCCTCTGTTCCCATCTCGCTCTGCTCAAGTCAGGCTCCACTCATGAGGAGCATTGCAGCAGCATGCTCATCTCACTGGCACCTGAGCCCCGGCTGTGACCTCTCAGTGTGCTTCCAGACCCCAAAACCACCAGCTGAGGACACATGCCCCAAGGAGGCGCACCTGGACRGCTTGCTCTGCAGGGCGAGGGGCAGCACTGCTCTTGGCTTTTCTGAAGAAGAGGGGCTTTGGTAAGAAGTGGGTGTCAAACTTCACAAAATCCTTTTCTGTCCTCAGTGGCTGCTTCTTCAAAGGGGCGACAGTCCTGCTGCTTCCCTAAGGGTGCAAGGGGCAAGAGGTCAAGGGGGGTGGGTCACACCAGAGAGCCACCTGTGAGGCCTTACACACAGAATGTGACCTAGGCCAGCAAGGCGAGAGCTCTCGGAAYAGACTCATGTCAGTGTGCCAAGAGCCCTTCTGCCAGCACAGGAGACCTCACACGCAGGCCACAGCTCACCTCGGCACCACGCCACTAGGGGACAGAAATCTCTTCTCAGCAACTAAACCCACTTGTTCACCTGCATATCCAAACCCAAATCCTGGGCCGAGTGCTTGTCCTTCAGAGTTTACCTGCTAAACAGCAACTCAGTCTCTAACCTGGGACCAAAATGTCATGTGGTTGCAGGTCTGGCATGGAGAGCAGGCAGTGCCAGCACTGGCTCTGCAGGTYCCCACAGGCTTCATAGGACTTTCTGGGGTGGCTGTAGCCAGCAACCCACCGGCAGAGGCCTAGTCTGGCTCAGGGTATGGGAAGCCCAGCACAGTGGATGCCACAGGGTGGTTTTGGCATTGGTATTCCTGACTTGAAGCCAGCTGTCTTCCCTCAGCAGACCCAGCAGACTTGGGCCCCACGAGCTCCCCACCTCTGCTGGCACAGGCCCTGGGAATTACTTAGCAACTGTGCAATCCTAAAACGGGTTGCTAAGGGTGTGAGCCACACAATGTCTGGGCTGCTCCTGGAGAAGGCAGGTGGCACAGCTCAAGTAGGCAAAGGGCACGCTACCACTTGGGCAAGCCTRCACTAGGAAGAGACTCCAGTCCAGCTCAAGCCCTGCTGACTCTCTGAGGCGTCTTACTGACCACACACTCACTCCCTCACCTGGCCACCCAGGAGGCCTCAGGGTCATGGCACTGCTATGTCACGGGTCTAAAGGCTTGTGCTAAAAACTTAACAGGCCTTTCCTCTGAAGGGCCAGGGAGCAAACATTTTCTGATCTGGACCATTAGATCTGTCACACCACTTAATTCTGTCACTGTGGAGTGAAAGTGAACATAGACAGTGCAGACATGAATGACACAGCTGTCCCCACAAAACCACGTGTCCACCCTCATGTGGAAGCAGTGTGCACCAAGACACAGAGTGAGGGCAGGCCCACAGCTGGGCCCCTCCTCTAGACCTGACTTAAAAGATCAGCAGAGAGAAAGTTCCTCTCAGGGAAAACCTAATACGTGTCAGAGAACTCTGGGTTCCCTCCTTTGCTAGAGTCCCAGATGGACCAGCTGGATGAAGAACCAAGCCCAGCACTGGACAGAGACCTGCACCTGCCTGTGAGCACTCAGGGGGATCTCCCAGCCCCATGCCCACCTTTCCCTCACCTTGGAGCGTGTGGCCTGGGTGTAGGTGGTAGCCGGGAAATACCTGCACTTGCCACTTGGACAGGCAGCTGTCATTTGCTTGGGTGAGGAATGTTATAAATCACCRCGCCTTCTAAGCATGGCTTGGTCCAGGTCTGACCATGCCCAGCAACCCCCAATCCCTGCCACAAGAGGGAGCAGGGCTCCTCAGTGKGCACTCTGAGGGCCTGGGCACCCCTACCTCGGGCCCTGCCCACCTTACCAGAGCTTGGAGCTGTCTGACTCTGGATCCCAGTATTCCGTTGTATTCTATCAAGCTTGACATTTCTTTCATCTTCTTCCTCTTTTTCAAAATTGTCTTCTGACTGGACAGACTATAGAGGTCAAGGCTGCTGGGCTCTGCCTTCTTTTTTTGTGGCCTCCTGCACTGGGGCAAGGTGGTCTGGCCACTGCCATTGACAGGGTGCACTCCAAGCTTCCTCTTCCTTTTCGGGACTTGGGTTCCATCTGTTGGGGAGCCTCTGGCAGCAGGTCCATGAGGATGGCTGCTGCCAGGGCCACTCTGGGCCTTGTCCTCCAGAGGCAGCTCTGTGGGGTCCCGGATCTCTCCCTGTGCGCCCAGGCTCTTTCTCTTCAGCCGGTTCCTCCTGCCACCTGTGGGGACGGAGGCAGGATGCTCCGAGCTGCTCTCCTCCCTGGTGCTAGACTCGGCCGCTCCCACCTGGGGGACCTGCCTCTGAGCAGGCTCAGGCTCCCTGCCCCTGCTCTGTGCTGAGGGTGAGGCTGTGTCCCTCAGGTCCAGAGTCTCAGACTGGGGGTGGCTCCTCTTCTTTTTTTTCCTTTTTCTTTTCTGAATGCGGCCTTCACTGTCCTTTTCCTCAGCAAGAAAGACTCTGTTTCCTGTAAAGACAGAGAGCAGTAAAAAAAGCTCCCCAGGGCTGGGGACAGCCTTGCCTGACTGGACTGGCACCCAGGGCCTCATATATACAAGGCAGGCTCTCTGTCACTGAGCCACACCCCAGGCMGTGGGTTCTGGGACATCTACTTCCAGAAGAGTTCTGACCTCCTGGGTGCACCTGGTGCCTCCACAGGCCTGTCTCCTTCTTCCCTCGCAGCTGTGACTGCAAGCCTCCCCATCCCTTTCAGTGGAAGGGGACTGAAGGAGCCAGGCTTCTGATAATGTGATGGCCGTAAGGTAAAAGCCACCACGAAACCCCTACTCCAAGGCTGAGGCAGGAGTCTAGAGAAACCCTGGCACATCCCTGCTCCAAGGGCAGAGGCTCTAGTCTCCACATCTTGTCCTCGCTTTCCTTCCCCTGAAGATGCGGCACAAGAGGAGGAGTTGAGCTGGAGCCCTGGTTACATAGAAAATAACAAAACGTGGGGAAAAAACTGTTTACGCTTTAGCCATTTAAAATGGACACTCTGCCAGGCACAGTAGCACCTGCCTGCAATCCCAGCAGCTCAGGAGGCTAAGGCAGGAATAAAAGCTCAAAGCTAGTCTGGCAACTTAGTGAGGCCCTGTCCCAAAATAAAAAGATCTGGGGTTGTGGTTCACTGGTTAAGCGCCCAGTGTTTAATCCCCAGAACCAAAACAAAAACAAGGAAAAAAAAAAAAAAAAAGAAACAAACAAAAAAACCCCAAAATGAAACTTTTTGCTCTGCCCATGATTTGTATGCTATCTCAAGTTCTCTGGACCTCAACAGCGCACCCACTCCACCACCCTCAGCCCGGCGTGCCCTGCTCTGAAGCCCTCCAGCTCACCTGTTTCCTTCTCCAAGTCAGCTTTCTCTAAGAGCTTACGTCTTTTTTTCTTATGTCTTCTTTGACTGAGARCTTGATCACCTTCATCAGCAGCAATGTCCTCAGGAAAACTGAGTTGAGATATACCACCTGAGAGACACCGGAGCCACCTCTCAGCTTCCTGAGGTCTTCTGCCCTGGGGTCTTGGAGCTGGCCCCTGCCCAAGCTAGCCAGATCAGACTTTAAATCTKGATGTCTGCCTCATCTCCACCACCCTAAACCTGGAAGCCGCTGACACAGTAATTACACACTTAACAAAGCTTTGTGGATTTTTATCAACTGTGGGTAACCCTCTGTGGCTCAGTCCTGGGGCTGGACTGGGCCAGGCAGTCTCCTGACTGCACCTGCTCTTTGCTTCCCCCAATTCCAAGCGTCCAGTGGATGAGGGGGGCTTGGGTTCGTCATTCATCCAGAGGTGACCCACAGCACAGCAGCTTTCCCTTGGGGACAAAAGGTCATAATAGCATAGTAAAGGGATCAGAGGCAGACTTCCTTCTTCATGAAGGACCAACTGGAATCTCCCTAGCCCAAAAGAAATCTGCTTAGTCAAAACGTAATAAAAACCCAAACAAGGGGCAGCCTGCTCCCTGGCCCTGGTATTTATGGGGTGCCCAGGGCAAGGTGGGCAGGTTGTAAAGGGTGGTACACTTGCATTCCCGGCCTCTTGTGTCAGGTGCTCCAGGAAGAACACAGGTCAGGGCTACCAGATCCCAAGAGCTTTCAATAAGTGCCCTGTCCAACCCCTAACCCAAYGCCTGGCACAGATGTTCAGGAAGAACATCCTGAATCACTATGCAGACTCTCCTCACCTTCAGAAAGGCCTTGGAACCTGAAAGAGAACACAAAAGTTCATAGAGAAACACTTCCTTCTGTCTTGCACAGACTCATGCATTGAACTCATAACACAGGCAGGCTTCAGCTACTCTTAGCCCACTCCCTTCTCCAGCAGGGGGCCAAAGAGGAATCCCAGAACATGTATCCAGAGAAGGGAGAGACCGGGACAAAATCACCCTTGATCACCATGCACATCAAGGACAGTGTCTGTCTTGCAAGTGCTCTACCCCTGAGCTACATCTCCAGCCCTTTTTGTATTTTATTTTGAGACAGGGTCTTGCTAGGTTGCTCAGTCTGGCCCAGACATGAGATCTTCCCACCTCAGCCTCTCAAGTGGCTGGGATTAAAGATGTATACCACAGTGCCCAACTGAAACCCAATTTTCCCTCACTTGTTTCTGAAGGTAAAAGAATTTAAATCTCTAATTATGTTTAACTGTCCCATGGAGACATGCCAGGTGGTGTTCCTATACAATTTTGGTGCATTAGAACAAGAAAGCCAAGGCTGAGGACTGATGCTGTGGCCTTCAGTCACCCAGCTATACAAAGGGGCAAGTTATAGAAGCTACCTTCTGGGGGTCTTTTTAATATGGAAAAAGAAACGACAGTGCTCACATCAGTGCCCACACTATAGTGTGATCAGACAGTTGTTACTTGTCTTGGGTCATAATGTGCCACGGGATCCATGGTGCATGACTGACATGCCTCTGTGCACTGACACCAACCACTAAATCAGTGCACCATGTTGGCCTAACCCTGCTGGAGGAGAAAGCAAGGGAGGCAACCCCCACCCATCTTAGCAACGTAGGACTCCTGGACAGCATCTGACTTCAGTCTCTTYACCCATGACTTGCAAACACCAGCAGGCTTCTTTTTACATTGATGTTGTTATAAAACAGTGAAAAGCCAGGTGTGGTGGCACATCCCACTGCTTAGGAGGCTGAGGCAGGAGGATCACAAGTTCCAGGCCAACCTCAGCAACTTAGCGAGGCCCTGTCTCATGTAGCTCATACCACAAAACAAACCAAAACAAAAACAGCAAAAAGACATAAGCATGGCTGCATCTGAAGAATGGAACCTGAGGGGCAAGAGCCAGCTGTTTTCATTAGGTCTTCAGTTTATGTGTTTATTACATTGCTGGGGCTGGGGCTCAGCCAYAGAGCGCTAGYCTAGCACGTGTGAGATGCTGGGTTTGATCCTCACCACCACATAAAAGTAAACAAATGAAATACAATAAAGGTATTGTGTCCATCTACTATAACAACAAAAACCCCCAAAACCCCAAAGGACAAAGGACACAAAGTGAGCATGATGACAGCTGCCTGTCACAAGACTCAAAGGAGCCCACCAGACCACTTACTTTTTGATGAGTTTGTAGAGACGTTTCCGGTTGAAGGGAGGAATGTTTTTCTTGTTGGTTATTTCCAAGAGTCGGTCTGCAACAGCCTTATAGTCAAACTACATCACAAAACAACAGCCTTATAGCAAAGCCACATGCTTGACTTTGGAAGTTCACATCTTCCAATAAGACCCCTAGGCACCAGAGAAAGGCTCAGCAATCTCATGCTGAGACGGGGACCAGGGTGGGAACCATCTTTGAAAGTCACCTCCCAGCTATCTTTCATCTAGGAGAAGCCAGGCAGTGAGCATTCCATACCCCCTTTAAACTGTGACATAAGGCACATCACCAAATTCTCCTAGATGTGCTTCTTTTTAAGTTTAATCTATATTTCTTTTTTTTTTTTTTAGAGAGAGAGAGAGAAAGAGAGAGAGAGAGAGAGAGAATTTTTAATATTTATTTTTTAGTTCTCGGCGGACACAACATCTTTGTTGGTATGTGGTGCTGAGGATCGAACCCGGGCCGCACGCATGCCAGGCGAGCGCGCTACCGCTTGAGCCACATCCCCAGCCCCTTTAATCTATATTTCTAATCTGTACTTGGCAGAACAATAAACTCTTATTCGAAAAGGACTGCTGGAGCTGGCTCTGTAGATCTTAGCAATTAAAATGGGGACCGAGAGCTTTCAAAATTCCACACTACTTAAACTCATCTTCAGTAAGCTCATTCTAAGGAAGGGAACTTCAGTGACAGAAGTGATTAAGAGCTTCACATGCCAGGCTCTACAGCACGATTAGCTTTGACCCTAATTCTCTTGCCAGGCCACGAAGTAAGTCTATATTCTATAAAAAGCAAACACCCACCTGGAGAAGTAGCCCCGTGTCCTCCAAGGTACCACAGTCCTTTCTTCCTCTTTTATCACTGATTCCATCTCTCCTGGAGGGGCATTTGCTCAGTGCTGTCAAAATGCACCAAAGGTCAAGATTCTTCATATGTCAGATATGCAGTAATGATGCTTCCCCAGGAGCAGTGTTTACCCAGATGAAAACAAATGTTTCTTCCCAGAGATAACCCTGCACCTGCACTTGATAATCTCCCAAAGGGGTTTGGGTTGTTTGGTCCTGGGAAGAGCACGAACCCTGGAGGAAGCACACTGCTCCTGGCCCTCCTCCTTGTGGTGACACCACAGACAAACCCAYATAAATTGCTGCTACCTCCACTTCCCTGCCATAGGCTGTCCTGGCTACTGCCTGTGGCTGAGGGGAAGGGAAGCTCTTGAAGCACTCAGGCAGGTGGACCACAGCTCTGTGCTGCTCTTGACTGTGAGGAGGTGAATGGACTTGGAGTCTGTGGTCAGTTCTAGGTGGAAATCTGTTCTACAGCTTCAGAAACTTTTACCTTACATGCAGGATCAGATGCATTTCAGATTTAGGAGCTTTCTGGATTTTGAAATATTTGCACAGACTGAACTGCTGAATATTTCTAATCCAAAAGTCTGAGATGCTCCAGAATCTGAAACTTTTTGAGTGTCACATTGATACTTCAAAAGTTTCAGATTTGAGAACATATTGGATGAGGGATGCTCAATCTGTACTAGATTGGCAAYTTTTCCTGAGGCCACACTAGGACTTGCTCAAGCCTGCCACCTGGGCTACTAACACTCCAGTCTATCCTTGTTTTTTGATATTGGGGCACTCCAGGGGCACTTAAACACCAAGACACATCTCAGGCCCCCCCTTTTTTTGGTGGTGGTAGAGATTGAACCCAGGGCCTTTTGCATGCGAGACAAGCACTCTTATCAACTGAGCTATATCCCCAGCCTTTAATTTTTCTTTTTCTTTTGATACCCGGGGTTGAACTCAGGGGCACTCAACCACTGAGTTATATCCCCAGTCCTATTTTGTATTTTATTTAGAGACAGGATCTCACTGAGTTGCTCAAAACCTCACCATTTTTGAGGCTGGCTTTGAACTCACGATYCTCCTGCCTAAGTCTCTTGAGTTGCTGGGGTTACAGGTGTGCACCTTCCAGATTTTTTTTTTAAAGAGATTCCTTTATTTTTTTTAAAAATGGGCCTTTATTTTGTCCATTTATTTATACACAGTGCTGAGAATCAAACCCAGTGTCTCACATATGCTAGGCAACTACTCTGCCACTAAGTCACAACCCCAGCTCCCCTTCCAGATTTTTTAAAGACAAATACAATATTGATTTTCCACAACAAATATTGGTCTTTTWAAAAAAATAATATAGAGCCTCCTTTGCTAGGGGATGGAACATAGGACCTTGAGCATGCTAGAAGTGTTCTACCACTAGGCTGTACCTTTAGTCCCCAAATTTCCTTCTTTTTATTGGTGCATTATAGCTATACAAAATAGTGAGATCTAGTGTTACATGTTTGTACACAATCTAACAATATAATTTGGCCAATATCATTCCCCAACATTTCCGCTTCCTTCCCTGCCTCTCACCCCTGAACTTCTGCTTCTCAATGGCAACATGCATTTCAAAAGGTGGTGAACTCTAGGGTTGGGGCTGTAGCTTAGTGGCCAAGCACTTGCCTAGCATGTGTGAGGCACTGGGTTTAATCCTCAGCACCACATAAAAATAAAATAAAGACATTGTGTTCACCTACAACTAAAAAATAAATGGGGGGGGGGAGGTGGGGAACTCTGATCTAACCATTTACTTCACACCACTGTGGGGGTTTTGATGGTCCACAACCTCAGAACCTCAGGACACAGAACAGTATAAGAGCAGTGTCAGTCCACAGTGAGCGTCTAAACACCCAAAGACAGGAAATAAGAGCTGCCAGAAGGTGAGCACATTTCTGACCACCTGCAGAGCTCTGCAGAGGAGGCTCTAGCAGACAAGTGTTCACACCAGGGTGTTCAGACACATCAAATGAAACAGAACCAATGAGAAGACCCCAACATATGAGCAAGGACAATGATAGAGCCCTCACAGAACTCAGCTCCCAGAAGATACAAAAGGTGTGGGCTTGGGGCTCCCCAGGTCCCCAATGGGAGCAAGTGTCTTCACGCACCCGACTCTCTTTCTAGGGAGGGGTCTGGGCAGAGCCATATTCCACGAGCCAACTCTGGATTACCTTCAATAAGAAACCACCAAGTGTTTTACTATTTATTTTTGTGTACTAGGAATTGAACCCAGGGGCACTTAACCATGGAGCCACATCCCCAAGCCCTTTTTATATTTTATTTAGAGACAGGGTCTCACTAAAGTTGCTTAGGGCCTTGCTAAATTGCTGAGGCTGGCTTTGAACTTGTAATCCTCCTGCCTCAGCCTCCAGAGCTGTTGGGATTACAGGCGTGCACCACTGAGCCTGGTTAGCAAGTATTTAAGAAATGTTTACTTGATGAGAATTAAAAACAATAACAGAATCCCCAAAGACAGAAGAAAGACCACTGTAGGAAATCTCACCTGTCTTCTTTCTGCTAACTACTTTTTTCCAAGCTGCCTCGTTTTCAAAAGTCTCCTCTTCAGGGAGGTCACCATCACCCACTTTGGTTTTCTGTTCCTCCACTGTGTCTTCAGGTACAAGAGGAGACTGATCTACAATGACTTCAAAAACACCCCTAGCTATAGTCTGTACCAGTGTGTGGCTGAGGGTAGAAGCACAGCGGAGAGAACGCAATTAAAACACACCATCTGGACCTTGCACAAGAGGAGTGCAGCACCTGTGGGGTCACTACCAGCGGTCAGCAGGCACCTGTGAGGAGCCACCTACATGCCATGGGATGGTAGGCCATGAATGCACAACAGGCAGAACTCTGGGTGTGGGAGGACATTCCAGGAACAAGCGGGTCAAACCTTGAAGCGGGAATCCAAATCACTACCCAGTGCTTCAAAGGCCTCATTAATGGGAATCGACACTGCACATTCTTTGCTCTGGACACTCATCCTAGCTGTCCTGCACCCTGCCTCAGAACAGGACCCCACCCACCTCTGAGTATCCACCAAAGCAGTACAAACATGTGATGAGCCACTTACTCCTTGGTCTTGGCAGCAATTTTGCAGAATGGGTCAATAAACTTGAGGTTCTGATCTGCCAAAAGCTGTAATTTAGACATAAAATAAGAAAAAAAGATTGAAATAAAACAAAACAAAATCCAGCCCCCCTTTCCTTCCTTACATACTGGAAAGGGAACCGTTCTGTGCATCTGGAGCGTGAGATGMAGTGATTCCTGTCTTCCAGCCCCAGATGTGCTACACCACAGAGGCCTGGTAGGCTCAAGGTCACAGCCATCCTACAGCCTTCTGGGTACCTTAGTATAGTAACCCCAAGCACCACCAGCCCAGCCAGCGYTATCTTGCAATACACAGGCTTTCTCCCTACAAGAAGTTCTACGTGGGTACTACCACAAAGTGTGAGATGAAGGCTTTCTTATTCTTTTTTTTTGGTACCAGAGATTGAACCCAGGGGTGCTTAACTACCAAGCCACATCCCCAGCCCTTATTGTATTTTATTTAGAGACAGGGTCTTGCTGAATTGCTTAGGGCCTTGTAAGTTACTGAGGCTGGCTTTGAACTTTTGGTCCTCCTGCCTCAGCCTCCCAAGCCGCTGGGATTACAGGTGTGCGCCATTGTGTCTGGCTACGGTCTCTTTTAACAATGATGAYGACAACAACAACAACAACAACAACAAAATCTCTACGAAACATTTGTAAAAGAAAAAAATCAAAATTGTTCATCTTCTCAATGTTAGATAATTATCTATATACTAAAAATACACTTCATACCATTTGTATACATTATGGTTTGGGTGTGAAGTGTCCCCCAGAGCTAATGTGAGAAAATGTAAGAAGATGCTGAGAAGAATTAGTTAGATTACAAGAGCCTTAACCCAATCAATGAATTCATTACCTGATGAGATTAATTAAATGGTAACTGAGGGAAGGTGGGGTGTGGCTAGAGGGGATGGGACACTGGGGGCCTGGCTTTGTAGGATATATTCTGTTTTTGGAGAGTAGTCTTTCTCTCTGCTTTCTGATCATCATGTGAGCTGCTTCCCTCTGCCACACTCTCCTACCATGATGTTCAGCCTCACCTCGAGGCCTGAAGAATGGAGTCAGCCTWSTATGGACTAAGACCTCTGAAACTGCGAACCCTAAATAAACTTTTCTTCCCCTAGAATTGTTCTGGTCAGATCCTTTAGTCACAGTGGTGAAAGAGCTGACTAAAACATATGCATTGTCTGTTGCCTTTTCCCCTGCTGCTTTGAAAATCCTCACTATATCCTGAGGATTTCTCCTCATTCCTGAATTCTCTGAAGGGTATTTTTAATTGTTTCTTTTCCTTTCTGTCTCTTTTTTTTTTGCCATCAGGAATTGAACCAAGGGGTGCTGAACCACTGAACCATATCCCCGGTCCTTTTTACTTTATTTCTTAAAAATTGAGACAGGGTCTTGTTAAGTTGCTTAGGGCCTCACTAAGTTGCTGAGGCTGGCCCTGAACTTGTGATCCTCCTGTCTTAGCCTCCTAAGCTGCTGGATTACAGGTGTGTGCCACCATGCCCAGCTCTCAAGGGTATTGCTATATTGGTACAGAAATCCAGGGCTCAAATGACCCTCCTGCCTCAGGCTCCAGAGTCACTGGGATCAAATGTACGTAACACTGTGCCTGGCTCACTTCTGTTATACAAACAGGACTGCTGCATGCATCCTGGTGCCCATTCCCCATGGGGAATGACTCGGAGAGGCTGGACCCACTCTGCTACTAATGTCACTGGTATCAAGTGCCAAGGGGCGGCACTTTGCAGACAACTCTTCCGAGCACCTGTGGTCTTGTCACACTGCTGCCAGCATGCCCAACTGTTTCTTACCTCTTTTCCTCCCACTTTGGATAGTTCGTCCAAATAAATATCGATGAAGTGGAACCTCACTCCATCAGGAGACTGGCTCTCAGGACAAAGGATCTCCTTCATCAGAACATCCAAAAAGAGCTTGATTCGGCTAAAGAAAAAAAACAAAAAAACAAAAAACCAAAAAAAAAAAAAAACATGATTCTTTTAACGACAGCATGCCAACACTTTCATCCCCAAAAGAAAACAAAATTACTTAGGTGAGAACTCATACTGCATAACAATAAAGACAAGGCCAAGGAAGATGTCCAGGGAAGGCAACCACTAAACCAGCATGAAGTACTGCCCGCTACACCTGCCAGCTACTTCGTGCCTTCACAGGGCTTGGACCCCTCCCTGAGGAAGGAMGCCTTGCTCCTTACATCACTCTAGGGCATGACTGCACACCAGACAATTCAGGAGTTCTGATCAACTGAAAAGCTTTAGAAAGCACCCTATTATCCTACAAGTGTTTTCTGGTGTCACTGAAGATCAGCCAGGCCTTGTGTGTACCAAGTGTGCTACTGCTGAGGTAACCCCCAGGCTTTCTTCACTGGTCTCGAGGGTCACCAAATGCTAACTCAAATAGTTTACCAACCTTTCCTCCCAGCCATTCCGTTTCAGAACTTCAAAAGACTGCCTCAGGACCAGGCGAATCAGCTAGAGAGACAATTTTTGTTATAAAGAAATGTTAATCAGCTTGGCAGAATAAGGAGATCAAATGAAATTGGTGCATTGTCTGGATCCGGAAAAACAAAACAATATCCATGATAAATATAATGATATATTTTGTTTACTAATGATCCCCAAGTGCTTCCTTGACAGCTAGAAGAGCTGCAGAGAACCTTCTATAAATACCTGATGCTGCTCTACTTCAGACAAGGGCTCCACTGTTTGTTAATAATTCCCCCCCCGCCCCACAGCACTAGTGATCAAACCCACGTCCTTGTGCAGAGTGGGCAAGTGCCTGGCCACTGAGCTAAACCCTAACTCCCCTCTATTGGTTTTATGATGCAGAACATTCTTTTTGCAYAGAAGCCTTTTCTTCTCAGTACTGTGGAATGAACCCAGGGCCTTGTGCATGATAGACAAGTGCTCTACCACTGAGCTACATGCCCAGAGTATTTTATTTTGAGACACTGTCTCTCCAAGTTGCTGAGGTGGGCCTTGAATGCCTGATCCTCCTGGCTCAGCCTCCTAGGCAGCTGGGATCACAGGCTTGTGCCACTGCGCCTGGCTGCACATGAACTCTTAAAGTCAATGTGGACAAAGGCATGCTGACCTTACCATGTAGTATTTGTCCAGGCGCAGCTTGTCTATTCCCTTCCATTCTCGATTCATGGTTTGCCAGAAGGTCTGAATGAACAGGTGCTCTGCAGGGAACAAGAGGCTCTGAGAGCTCGGTTCCCATGTTAGGGTAGACCACATAGTAAGAAAAGAGTGAAGAGAAACTAGGGTTTATTTACTTGTCTCAAAAATTCTTGGGAAGTTAAACAATCTGGTCAATAATTGAATACACTTGATAATTTCCTTTACATTAAGATAAATAGATTAAAATACCAGGAGGCTAGTGATACCTCCCCACCAGAGCATTCTCTGGAGCACCTTACCTACTGAAAAGCCACGTTTACCTAAAATCCAAATTCCCTGATCCACACTGCAGGCCCTTTCCACAGCACCCTTTAAAACACACACTCATCCTGATGAGCACTCACGTGATCTTCGCAGGCTCCACTTTCCGTCTGTGCTAGGTATCATTTGGGAAAGCTTTAGCACAGGGCATTCTAGTCCTCTCTTCTGAGCCTTGATGCTAGCACGTTTCCACTGGAAACACTTGCTGATTTCTTTCTTGGATTTACTTTTCAGAGTAAAATTCTTTCTTAATACATCAAGCCTATACTATACATGATTCAATTTCCTTCACTGTGAGCTGAACCCAGAACCACTGTGGTTTCTCAAGCCACTGTGATGATTTTGCTCTGGGGCGTGCTAAGCAGAACACACTGTCATCCTTTCTTCCTTTATAAATAATTCAAGTCTGTCTCAGCAATCTTAATTTTCCCTCTGGCTTCCTTTTGGTAGAGAAGTTTCCTTGTAGTTTGCTACCAGTGTTGTCCTCTATCTAACCTTGGGGAGCATGCACCTGCCAGAGGTGACCAAATAAGCTGGCTTGTGAATGGACAGCTGTGAGAGTGCCCAAGTGACTCAGAACCTGGCTGAGGAGTTAGTCTTTGCGTGTCAATTGACTATACACAAGGTGCCCCCATACTGTCTTAGAAGTTGCTACCTCCGTCTACAAGCTTTTAAAACAAGAAAGGCTTGTTGCCCGATGCCCATATAACATAGTACCAGGCTCATGTTAAACCAACGCCCTGGGAAATGGGGGACTCTGAAGGAAGGAAAAGAAACGACACTGACTAGGTTTCCCAGGCAAATTACCAAATGTGAAGAACAAGGAAGTTTTGAAAGTCATGAAAACATCAGGACTTACGAGCCTCTGAGCTGTTAACAACATGGATGAGTTGGGAAATAGAGTTCGCTAGCTCCTCCTGCAAAGGTGGGGTTGGGGAGAAACATCGGGGTTATTACGTGTTGTACCATCAAGGCAGCACTGTGGCCTGCATCCTCCTCCCACCCTGCTGGCGGGAAAGCCTGTGCTTCCTGCTCTAGTGGCTGCCAACAAGGGGTGAGGCTGTGAGCACCTGGTGTCTCCAAGCGTAAGACCTCAACTGTGCTGACTTCATGTGTGTGTGGGAACAGGCTACGCTGTGGGTTTGAAAGCATGTAGTAAGCTGTTCAACGACCCACCAAAGGTTCACATTAGCCGTCAATCCCTGGCTTTAAAACTGTAATCAAGCTGAGATTGTATCAAAATCTTTAAATGCTGTGAAAGTCAGAAAACACAGGGTCCCTCCCTGGTGGCTGAACACTGGGGTTCTCACTCCAGAGACCTAATTTGTGGGATAAAAAAGTCTTCTACCTGGCGAGAGTAGGTTGGAAAATAAAGGTTAGATAGGACCCTCCTAAGGCTCCGCCCTGCCAGGAGTGCCCTCTGAAGACAAGCTCGCCAAAGCACAGCAGGGCCTGTTTCGGGAGAGCGCAGTGGGCACGGCCTGTGGAGAAGCCTGCCTGGCAGCAAGCCTTCTGTCCACKAGGTCCCTGGGCATGAATGGTCCTCAGTGATACTGCTCACACTTCACCTAATTTTCCTTCCTTTTAAAATGAACTCCAGACTTGAAAATGTTGTTGTTTATTGGTTCTTTCTTCACTAAAGCTGCTGGTTGTTACTTTTGAATGAATCTAAAAATGTTTTGCCCTGCTAACCTACTCAAAATATGTTGAGTAGAGTGAATATGAGAATCCAGACAAGCTGTTACCCGGCATGGGTGCAGTGGCAGGGCTGCATGGAGGAACCCAGCAGGAAACTGTGCAGGAGGACCTGACAACAGAGGCTTGCACATTTCTGCCACCAGAGGCGCAGCTGCTTTCAGAAGGCAGTTTTCTATGAGCATTCTCTAACTGACGGTGGGGCTGAGTGTACTCCACAGATGGGCACCAAGGCTCACCCAACACACTTGGTGAGTGGCACAGTTTCCACCGAGTTTCCTTGGTTAGTGGTTAGAGAGGCTTTAGCCACAAGGGCCTGTGGAAGAACGGAAGGCGAGCAGGTAGCTGCCTTATACCCAATACCAGCCACACTGTGGCAGAGGCAGGCGTGGAGCCTACACCTCGCAGTTTCTTAAGATTAGTGCTTCCTATCACACTTTTTTGTCTACAAGGAGTAAACTTGAGAGAGAAGAAACAGAAACTTTAAAACACATAATGCAAAACCTACCATGGAATCTATGAAATGATGACAGAAGTCTACGACTTAGAATATCCATTGTATTTGAAAGATGATTAACCTAAAAGCTGGTGCAGCATCCCTTTCTGTTCAGACGAGCTGAGAAACCGGCTCCTGGAGGCACTCATTCCCAATCTGCTTAGGTATGCCAGGGCACTGACTGAGGGTCAACATCAAGTCTCTCTTAGCCAGCGTGCCAAAGGTCCAGGAACACGACAAAGGGGCTGTGTTACCTGCAGAAGGGGTTCGTCCTGCACCCACATGCAGTAGAAGAGTCCTTTCCATATTTTTAGGAGTTCTTCTTGGCTGAAACCTCCTGCAGGGCAAAAGAGCGCACACACACACACACACAAATCTTATTTTAGAGTCTATATATTTCCTTTCTTAAAACCTAAAAGGGCCACAGTAGTGGTGAAAACATTACCACATGCTTCTAATTCTCTTCCAACCCTAAGCCTTGTTTCTTAAATTTGAATGACAGGTTTCCTATGTTACAATGAACACATGAACCGCACAGATAGTTCAGCCTTGGAGAGGGAGCTATGATGACAAGTCCTCAACAGTCAAGAAACACAAGGAAGCACGTGTGATCACAACACAATCAACCCCCCGGGGCTGAGGGTGCAGCTCAGGGGTACAGTGCCTGCCGGGGTTGATACTGAGATCCTGGGTTTGATCTCCAGCACAGCCAATGCTCTCCAAACCAAAACCAGACAGAGCCCATGAGGTGGCCATTTATAGAATCAGCACCCGCCTCAAGCACTGCCTGCTTAGTACTGCAAATCTGACAAATGATGCAGGATTACCCAGTCACATGAAGTCTAGCAATTGGCAGGCCCACTGAAGAACAGAAAGCCAGGCAGGCCGAGGATGCCTGAAAGTCAAAGGACTAGGAAAGATCCTTTGGAAACTGATACGGCTTTGAGGTATTTTCCAAAAAGCACCCCTTAATTTTTTAAATATGGTGCTGAGGATCGAACCCAGTACCTCAYGCATGCTAGGCAAGCACTATGCCTCTCAGCCACAACCCCAGCCCAGTACCCCTTAATTTTAAGGATCCTACCGTGAGGTTAAATGCAGCTGTCCCTAGTCTCCTTCCCAGGGACAGCTGTTGCTTGCTGGGCAATTTTAGCTGGTATTGAGTGTAGCCCTGGGTTGGCCTTATTCTTCCTCTAGCTCCTCAGAGGCCCCACCTCCCCTTTGCTATGTAGGAATGAACCACCAGGCTCCTTCAGCCTGTAACCGACCCAGGAGCCATGAAACATTCTGAGCCACACAAGGAATCAGAAATGAGAGACAGGTGCCCACTCCTGGATCTCAAGACCATGGGCCAGGGAACCAATATCCTTAAGTTTCCATGTGCTACAAATGGTCTTCACTGATATCTTACTAGGAATAATGGGGACAATCTTTGGGAGTAGCAGACTGGGATATAATAGATGAATACAAAAAGTAGCATGGAACTGGTGTGATTGCAACACTCCAGAGATAATAATGGACTGATATTTGGTGTATTCAAAATGAGTTTACTCCATTTTATACACTTTATTAAAAATAAAAATTTCCTCACATCAATAATTTTAAGATGGTCTTGATTCTTTTTTTTTTAATTTTAGATGTTGATGGACTTTTATTTTACTCACTTATTTATATTTTGCAGTGCTGAGAATCAAACCCAGTATCTCACATGTACTAGGCAAGTGCTCTAGCACTGAGCTCCAGCCCCAGCCCTGGTCTTGATTCTTTTGTGACAGTTTCCCACTTAAATCAAAATATCAGAAACTATGGTGAAATTCAAGTACATGCCCTTCAAGAGCTGCACAAAAGAGGTAAAGGCTGGTTTTCCTCCCTTCTGTTACAAATGAGTCACATGTAGGGATCTTCATCTTTATTTTATTTTTATGTGGTACTGAGAATCGAACCCAATGCCTCATGCATGCTAGGGGAGCATGCTACCACTTGAGTCACATCCTCAGCCCACATGTAGGGATCTTTACACCAACAACATAAAATCCACCAGAGTCCAGCCAACTGTAGTCATAAAAGCAACATTTTTTTTTTTTTTGATCAAATTCAAAGACTGCTTAAGTCTCTAGTGAACTAGTGGACCTGGGCAAGGATCAATGACTGCTAAAACATTAGGCAAAAAAGTACTGAGGAACAAAACAAAACAAAACCTGAGTTGTGTTAAACCTACCTAGCAACACCAGCTTATAGAAAATCCAGGGGGTAGAGGAACAGGTTAAGGATGACCTTGTGATGTAGTTGGCAAAACCTCAAATGTGTGAGTCTACAGGACAAATGACCAGTCCTCCAACAAATAAACTGTATGGGGGAAAAAATGCATAAAACCTGTTGGAATTAGCAGACGTCAGTCAAATGCAACAGGTGAGTCTTATTTGAATTCTGATTCGTCATAAAAATCAGCAGACTGGGTATTACACATTAAGGATGTTTTTAAGGTATGAGGAGGGTACTGTGGCTATGAGTCCTTATCTTTCAGACACATATGTTGAAGTGTCTGGAAATGGAGTGAGATGCCTGGGCTTTGGTTCACAAGAACCTAGAGGGAAGGAGGAAAGGGCAGACAATCTGGCTGGGCACTGGCAAATGCCAAAGCAGAGAAATGAGGACATGTGGACTAGGGTTGTAGCTCAGTGGTATAGAGCGCTTGCCTAGCATGTGTGAGGCACTGGGTTCGATTCTCAGCACCACATATAAATAAATAAAATACAGGTATTATGTCCATCTACAACTTAAAAAAAAWTGAGAACACTTTTTATATGTTTGAAATATTCCTTAACAAAAAGACAAAAAGGATGCTATAAATGTTAAAGAACTTACAAGCAAAGAGGATTAAAGGAGCTGGGTTACTGTGAGGCCAGGGCCTGGCACTCTGGGTTTTTGTGGCTGGTTCTGGAGTAGATGCACCGTTATTTCCTGCCCAATTTCAGGGCAGGGATATGGAGGAGGCAGAGGTTGGTGGGGTTCACCCTACACGGAGGGGAGGAAGAAGCAGTAGGGGCTTAAGTCAGATTAGCAGGAATTCTCTGGGCCACAGGACTGCTCAACAGCAAATGGCCCTCTGCTCAGGCTCCAGGAAGTCTCTCTTCCACTAGGCTTGGAGCACACAAGCGTTTCCTGTGCTCAGCCACCCTCAAAAGAAGACGGCCTGCCTGAGAGTGGAGTCTCCCCAGGGAGCAGAGTCTCAGTGGAGAAAAATGGGGCTCTGGTGCCACTGGCTGGCTGCAAGAAGCTGCTCTTCAATTTCCACTTAAAGCTAGTGTGGCTTGGAGGTTCTGCTGATTGGCAACTGAAGAGTCCTAGTAAAAACACATTTTTATTACAAAACATTCACACACTACCAAAGTTACACAGTCAAGTGTGCCTTGTTCACTGCCTCCCAAATCCCGTTTCCTCTCCATAGGGGTCACTGCTATCTGCCTTCTGTTTCTAGATCTTTCCTATGCATGTGCAGAACAGTTACTTGTATTATGGAAAAGCATGGCTACCTGTTAGAACGTAAGAATGACATTCTTTTGTATTCTGGCTTTTCTTACTTAAAGCTGCTTGGTGTATGTTTATCTCTTGATAGTTCTCAAACCAATGGTAAGCAACAATGGGGTATACCCAATATCACAGGCAAAGAAACAATACGATATACTACAGAGACCTATATGGAAAAACAGAAGATTCTAACAAAGCCAAATTAACAGCAGAACCCAGACAGTAAGCAGGTATGTGAAACACATTCTGACTCGTCTCTGCTGAAGGAGACCACAAAGTACAGCAGAGACCTGACAGGTGGGCAGGCCCCAACTGCTGTGTACAAGAGCATAGTACCAGAAAACTGTCCACTGACCTTTGGGACTTAGTCTCCTTACTGTACCAGGCATATGGTCAGGGTCAAAATGAAAGGCACATCAGAGAAGCATGTTGTGAGTGAAGTGTGTTCAACAGCGGGGTGTGGTTCTGATCAACTCACTGTTCAGCCATAGTTATCCAAGTGTGCCACCATGCCCATCTAGGTTTAGTTATTTTATTTTTTTTGGTACTAGGGATTGAACCCAGAGGTGCTTTACCACTGCCATTCCCAACCCTTTTTATTTCGAAACAGGGTTTTGCCAAGTTGCTTGGGCCCGCTTAGTTGCTTAGCCTGGCTTCAAACTTGTGATCCTCTTGCCTCAGTCTCCCGAGCTGCTGGGATTATTTGTGTGTGCCATTGTGCCTGGCTAGGTAGTTACTTTAAAACAAATCAGGTGAACATGAAAGTGAGACAATACAGACACAGGATATACTGAATGGTAACACTATTTTTCCCAGGACATGAGCACAGAAGCCATTTATGATAGGGGCAACATCACACTAACTTAGCCCAGGGTCAAAACTCCTATTCATCAAGACCTCAGGTAGAGAGTTGCCTCATYACCATCAATAAATTTAAGACCACTTACCACAGACACACTGTTGTTTTATATGTATCCAAAGAAAGCAATGATGTGAATGAAACYGCCACAGGTTGATTCAAATGCTAAGATATACCTCAATTTGGGGCAGAAAATTTTATGTGGGTGCAGTACTAGGAACTGAAACCCATGCTCTATGACTGAGCTACTTCCTCAGCTACTTTTTTTTTTTTTTTAAATCTTTTGAGATGGGGATCTCACCAAGTTGCTGAGGCTGGTCTTGAACTTTTGATCCTCCTGACTCAGACTCCTGAGTAGCTGGGATGACAAACACACACAATCCTGYCTGGCAGATGTTATAAAGTTGCAGAATTGATAAAAAGGTAGGGATTGCTGGGCATGGTGTTGCATGCCTGTAATCTCAGTGATTCAGGAGGTCAAAACAAAAAAGACAGGCAGGGATTGACTGTTTAGTTCAGTGCCAAGAACAGGGTACATAATAATAGGTGCTTCTCAAATGTTTGCTGAATATAGGAATTAATGACTAAATCATGACAAATGAGTTGTTATGAACCAAAACCATGATCAATTCATGTGAGTGAGGACTCACGGGTAAAGCACAAGAGCAATATTGTTTTAAGTGGTACAAAGATTTCCAACTTGTTTTAAAGATTATAGAGCTATTGTGAGTGAGGACTCACAGGTAAAGCACAAGAGCAATATTGTTTTAAGTGGTACAAAGATTTCCAACTTGTTTTAAAGATTATAGAGCTATTTATTTGTTGGTGACAGTTAAAATACTTCCTAAACAAGATGCAAAAAGATCCTGAGCCTGTCAATGAGAGTCAAATGTTGGGCTAAGYTATTTCCAAACTTGTGTTTCTATTTTGATGGGGCTTAGCTGTGGAAGAGACCTTGGTTTTTCTCATCTATTATTGTTATGACATCTACTGTAGTTATTTTTGATGGCCGATTATACTAAATGCAATGTGCATATGGTGATGAACACCACAAGTAACTGGGTGTGATGGGTGCTAAGGAGGCAGGAACTCAGGACATTGGTGTCAACTGATTGGCCTCAGGCTACCTTAGCCTGGTGCCAAATTTGAAGTTCTAGACCTGCTCACAAAGTGGTGTGAGCAAGAGGCTGTCTGGATGTCTCAGGTCCATATGTACCACACCTGTCTTTGTTCTTGTCCACAGCCAGGACCTCATAAGTTGGATATGCCCCCACTTCAAGCTAAGAAAACAGATGGAAGCTTACTGAATTTGGGGKAAGAATGGCACATCAACAGATAATTAAGAAGCAATATACCTAAATGCTACAATAGACAGCAGTGTTTATAGGTGCTTAGAACCCTACAAGAGTGGGAGCAAGAGGGAGGAAGTGATATTGAACTGAATGGGAATGGAGAAGAGGTAGGCTTCTCTGCAGAGTGAGCAGGAGGCAGACAAGCAGCAGAAAGTTTTGGGGGACTTTGGGCACTGAGCATGAGGTGCTAGTGGGACAACCATGCGGAGTGCTGGGCTAGCGGTTTAGGTTTAAGAGGCATTGGATTACAGATATGGGAAACCAGGAGGGTAAACTAACGGAGATCCCAAACAGATGTCAGGAATTCCGATCCACTCCTTAGACTTCCCACCAAAGCTTAATTTTTCTTTTCTTTCTTATTTGGGATATGTGTGTTTTGTGTCAGTAACGGGTGTGGGGAGTAATGCTCTTTTAAGCAATTTCAATTGTGCTATTATTAGCAGTAACTAAGCCCAACTTTGGCCACCTCGATGCAACATAAGCAGGCCTCCGTCGCCCATTGCAGTCCATACCTTAGGTGGGACTAAAGGGTCCCCAGAACCTTTTAGTCGGGTAAATAACACTTCCCCGCACTCCACCGCCTGCTTTCCAGCTGCACCTCGGGAGCCCTCCAGCCGCGCTTACGGTCTCCGCGCCCGTCCCGGGCCGCGCAGCTCCTGCCCTGCAGGCGCCGTGCTGGGCGCACCGCCCGCGGCCCGCGCTCGCTCGCGCACTCCACCTGGCCACTTCCCGCCCGCGCGCCTCCAGGCCGGGCCCGGCTTCTCCCGGCACCTAACGGCGATGTCCAGCCACCAGCCCCGGGCCAGTTCTCGGCTCCGCCGCTGACCTTCGGCATACCACCGGACTCCTGGCCGTTCCCGCCCAGCACGGCCCAGGCACAGCACGCGATGGCTCGCCGCTTGCCCCGGCGACCGCGACGYCGGCCATGTGGCGCGGCGGACCCCCTGGGCGCCCACCTGTCTCGCTCTGCGTCTTCACGCTGAGGTACTGGCGCAGCTTCCTCACCGCGCGGTCGCGGACGCCCTTCTCGCCGGACGCCAGCCGCTGAGCGAACTGGACCTCGGCGGGCTGCACGGCGGGGGCCATCGCGGCCGCCTGAGCAACCCCGCCGAGCGCCCGCCCCCCGACCGCGCTTGCGCAGAGCGCGGCGCGTGCCGATGGCGTCATAGAGGCGCCGTGCGCCGCGCGTTCCYGGCCCGCGCGTTCTGGGAGCGGCTCTGGCCGCGGGAGGAGCCGCCCGGCCCCACGGCGTCGTGTCGGCGCTGTCTTTCGGTCGCCGCAGGTCAGGGCGGTCGGCGGCGAGGTTAGCCAGGGTCGGGTCTTGTCCGGAAAGAYACAGACGGCTGGTTTAAGTGGCCTAGAATCTCGAAGCACACTTAGCAAAGCCCCGTCAGGCCAGCAGCTCAGCTCTCCTGCGATGCGTACGCACCGCGTTTCCGTGGCGCTTAGCCCGGGAAGGCAGGTTCTCCTGGGGCCCTGCTTAGCAGGCTGACAGGCAGCCCCGCCGGGCCGCTACCGCGTGGTTCTGCCAGGGCCAGAGCACTCCTAGTGCCCAGTGCCCCGTGCGCTGGTGCAGGGTTGGGATGTGGAGTACGGCGGGACCCCCGCCCCCAGCACCTGGGGCAGGTGCAGGTGTGTGCACTGCGAAGGGAACCAACCCATCCTCCCTAGCTTCATGGGGCGGGTGCCGAGGTGTCCAGCGCACAGTGCTCGGTCTCTCCTCCCCCCCCACCCCCCGCATCTGGTGGGAGGGGTGTGGGGTGCCAAGTGAACCACCTGGTCTCCCATTGGGCATCCTGGGCCCAGTTCCGGTTGTGGTGCGGCCAGAACCTCCCCTTGTGACCTCTCCCCGGGCATCCTGGGACAGGTTCTGGGAGCCAGCAGGCCAACAGGTTGTCTGGCCTTTCAACATGCACTTTACGGGAATGGGAATCGAGCAGACCTTGCTAATCCCAGAGGGGAAGTCCTTAAAGTTGTGCTAACTTTGGGATCATGCAAGACTGTAGGGAATTTACCGGTGTAGGGTGACTCCCCTGGATTTAGGGTGGTTATCTTACTGTCACCTGGAAGAAATAACCCTCGTGTGATCGCAAACGTTCACCTCTCGAAGTGAAAGCTCCAGGAGCGGGTCGCTGGGTCAGGGCCAGAGCAGTATCTCTCACCAAAAGAGAAAGGACTATTTGGATTTATTTATTTGATATTTATTTCTGGGTTTCACGTTTCGTCTACTCTGCAGTTAACAAGTGTTTAAAACCCGGGCTAAACCAGAAGATCAGAAGTGGGACCTCTCGGAGTCCATCCATCGATCCYGAGGCAGAGGATGCTGCTCAAACTCCGGGAGCTTTGAACCTCGCAGCTCTCCATACTGCGGACCATTCGGACCCGGCGTGGCTTCGTTCCCGCGCTTTCTGGCGTGCCGGGGTCAAGGAGCGCCGCGCAGGCGCACTGAGCCGAGGCGGTGGCCATGGGCGAGGCAGGAGGCGCTGAGGAGGCCTGCCGGGTCAGTGGGGAGGGCCCGCTTCCGGCGGTCGGCCCGCGGTGGGCATCGCCCAAACGCTAAAGGCTGTTCGCATGGCCGGGCCCGGTGCACTGGGCAGGGCAGGAGGGGGCTGGGACGCGGCTTCTCGCCGCCCTGGAAGGCCTGGCTCAGGACGCGGCCGACAGGTGGCGAAGGCGGCTTCGTGGCTGCGGCTGTGACCACGCGGCCTGAGGGCGACTGGGTGCTCGGACCCAGAGCTGGTCCTGGCCGTGTCCGGTCCGCGTGCGGGCAGCGGAGGCCGCCAGGTTAAGTTGCAGCGCGGCGTTCAGTGGGTCCTTTGCGGCGGCCTCTTCGCTTTCTTGCGGCCGCACCGCCCGCCCGGCGCTGTGCAGGAGCTGCACCTCTGCCCCTTGACCTTGCGCTTGACCCCGGCGCTCCGCTGGAGCTATGCCCCTGCCCTTTGACCTTGCACTTCGCTACTGGGTCTCCCAGTTTCCAGGCCTCGGCAAGGGGTCCGAGGCTGGCGTGGCAGGCCCCCCCCCCTTTTCAACCTGGGTCTCGCTGGTTCCCCGACGCAGCGAGCAATCCTCGGGCCCCCAGAGCGGGGGAAGAGGTGCGGGGCACGGCCCGACACCCTGCTTTACACACGTGTGACCCAGACCCGTGTCCCCTAGGAGAAGACACCTAAAGACGCGCTAGGAACAGAGGGTCAGGAAAAAGAAGCAGGTCGGCTTGGGCTGCTGGTTTTAGTCATCTGAAGAGAAATATAATAATTTTAAAGGTCTTCATTTTTTAGCACATGGGAACCAAAGAAGAGTTCGTTAAAGTCAGAAAGAAGGACCTGGAACGGCTGACAACTGAAGTGATGCAAATACGGGACTTCTTACCTAGAATACTAAATGGGGAGGTACTGGAAAGCTTCCAGAAATTAAAGATTGTAGAAAAAAGTGAGTCCCACCTTGATTTTTAACAGTTTGATTGGTTATTGGTAATGTAATCTAATAGAGCAGATTTACCTTAGGTACATAACTGTAATTGTATATAAATTTTAACGTGTTGGCTATAGTCCTTGTAATTACATTAGGGAGAGTCAGATAAAATGTGGAGATCCCCTGAAAGAGTAACTTAAGAAAAGTGTGTTGTGTTGGAGGAAAGGTTGCCAGTTTTCTGTAGCTTCTCTTTCTGTCCTGTTTTCTTCCTTGGAAGAAGAATTTAATGGTTTTCATTCTGAAAAACTCCACTCTGAAAATTAAGGCCTTTTGCAAATTAAAGATCCTGCCATGTTGCAGCCTCAGGTGGGATTAATGGAGCCGTAGAGATAACTGAATGTGTGTGCACTTGTCCCTGGGTGGATGGGAAGGTCAACTTCCAGCACTGAGTTAAGGCCAGGATTTTGAGGTCTTGTCCATTCACACTCTTGAGCTTCAAACTGAGCTGTCATGTCAAGTACCAGTGTAGGACCAGTGTAGGACCCTTTTAAAGTTCTTGAAGGTAGTTCGAGATTGATCAGTACATGTCTGGTTGAGGCTGCTTCACCATCAAGTCAGCCTTTAAGGGTTAAGGCTAATTCCCCATGATCATTTCAGATTCTTAAATGTTTGTCCTAGCTTAATGAGACTGAGGTCACTAGGAAGAGGCCTGTAGTTTGACTAGGTCAGGTTTATGGTTCATTGCAATGTGGGAGACCACATTCCAGAGGAACTGGGAGGCATCTCACCAAAGAGGAGGATCATATTGTTACAGGACTTGAGGGGCAGGGTAGGATTAGGGTGGTGTGGAAATGAAGCAGTGGTGGTTTTTTTTTTTTAAATTTTTTTTTTATTTTTTGGGGTGTGTGTGTGTAAGTGTAATATGTTTATTTTTATTTGTTTATTTTTATATGGTCCTGGGGACCAAACCCAGGGCTTCACACATGYAAGGCAAGCACTCTACACTGAGCTACAACCCCAGCCCTTGGTGTGTGTTTTTATTTTCTCTTTTTGGTGGTGCTGGGAATTGAACCCAGGGGCCTTGTGTATGTGAGGCAAGCCCTCTACCAGCGAACTATATCCCTAGCCCTGAAGCAGTGAGTGTTTTGATGGCTCAAAGCAATGTAGAGCTTTGTGTAAAGAGGCAACGTAGGTCTTATTGAAGAAGTTCCTGGTTCCATTCACTTAAAAAGTGCAAAGTTCAGATAGACTGTGTAACACTGTCTAGAAATCCCTTACATGAAGCTCTCTGGCTAGCAGAACATGCAGGCTGCCTATGTTACAGAGGCTCTTTAGGCCAGGATGTGGTGTTCTTTTTTTTCTGTAAAATCTCAAAACAGCAGTTTCTAGGAGTTGGATTTTTCAGAGTGAGACTTCTAAGTGAACAAGTCCATAGTCCCTCAAAGATGCATTGTGACCCTTCTCAGTCGCAGGGTCCTTAGGAGATATATTGTTCCTTGGCTTTTTCCATGTCTGCTCTTCTAGCCTGACAAATTGCAGGATGGGTTTTCATTTTTTCAGCAAACTAATTTTTACTTTCTCACATCTGACTCATGATAACCATTCCTCTGTCCCCATCTCACACTGGCCAGCCTCAATCTCAGAGTAACCCCGCCACCCGCCAACCCCCACACACTGGAGACTTTGTAGCTACCTGTCTGTCCTCCTCAGCTGTTTCCCAGTGTACCAGTGAGTCCTGTATATTTTGCTTCAGAGAGGCAGCCTTACTTCCACCGAGGCAGCCTCGTCTCCACTGCTGTGGGGACATGAAGCTCTCTGGCTAGCTGAACATGCACCTAAATCCCTGCTGTGGGGACATGAAGCTCTCTGGCTAGCTGAACATGCACCTAAATCCCGTGTTTGCCTCCTCCAGGCTGTGTTGACCCCTTTGCCAGCCTGAGTAATCTTTGGCAGTTCAGTTGATCACATCATTCCCCTGCTCAAGTCTTTAACAGTTGCTCTTTGCTCTTAGGATAAAGACCAGCCAACCAGTAAAACCATTACCACCCAAGTACCTAAACCAGATCAGATCAAGGGTTAAAAGGCTTCATATTGCTGGATATAGCCCCTGCCCAGAGTCGTTGTCAACTTTGGCTGTCCAGATGTGGCTTCCCTTGCTGAAGTCATAGTCCTCTGTGCTGCTCCTTCCTACTGTGTGGGGGTTTTTCCCATTTTACTTTGATAGTAGTAAACAAGCAGGGCCCTTGTTTTTGGTTACTGTTATCTTTTCCTGGCTGGATGTTTGTTCTTGTAGGATTGCCCTCCTGTCTGCATGCTCCTTTTTCTGAGTTGCAGTGTTATGATGCTTACATGTGCTTCTAGAAACCTGATGTTAGAAAGGAAGGACCAAACTGGCTTGGGTTATTGTAGAGGGTTCACTGTGGACTTCCAACTTGAGCTATTGAGGAGGACTTTTGCTTTTCTGGCCTGGCCTGAAAGGTGGCCTCCTAAAGCACCTGTCGTCTAATTTTTGCTCTGAGTTCTTACCATTTGGGAAAGGTCTGAAGGAAAACAGTATCTCCCCCCCCCTCCCTTTTTTAAAGGCCTACATTTGATAGCCTTGGCCTTCCCATGGACCTGTCTTCAGTTGAATCACTTGTAACATGACTAAGAATGAAGCCACAGAGAAAATCCAGAGATCACACTGTGGCAACAAGAACTGTTTGGCATATGGATTCTTCTTTCCTTCCACCAGCCCTGTGGTCCAGTAGGGTTATTGGCTTTGCTTGGTGTTGGTTATTTTGCTTTTAGAAGTGGGTGTGTGCATCTAGTCTTAAGCAGTGACCATGGGCAACCTGAAGGTAGAAACAAATGTCAGGGAAGGGAGTTGAGGGAAGTTGTGTACCTCTTTTCAGAAGTTTCCTTTAGAGTGCAGGTGAGATTCTATTTGGATGCCTTCTGTAGGCTTAATCTATAATGTAACTTGCAAGCCAGCTTTAGGGCCTGAGTTGATGATGAGCATAGGGAGAGATTGATACTAGCATAGGACCTACCTTGGGAGGCTGGTCAAGGTAAGTGGTGCTTTGGAATACTACTGATGATGTGTTACTGGAGCATCTTTAGGGACTCAGCTCTAAGAGGGAAGATGTTGAAGTTTAGGGTGGTGGCATGTATGGAAGTCTCAAATGGGAGTGAGAGGGAGGATTATGGGTTCATTAGCTGGTTTTTCCTCCTTGTACAGAGTAAGAATTAGAGTATAGTAGAACTGAGGACAGTGAATCTGAGTAGTTTATACAGGACAAGTAGAATACAAGTCATGGATTGTTTTTAGTTTAAGTGAGAAGCGCTTGGAGGTTTCTACATAGAAATAACTTCCAAGTAGTGATTCAGGTGATATTTTCAGGGGGATGTCTTTTGCATCTGAATATAGGATAGTTTGGAGGGGTTGGGTGGGAGATGGAGAGAAGCAGTGATAGTTCCTCAAGGGAGCCTCTGGGCTCTGTTGAACTTTGAGTCTGAATGGAGCAGGAGGGASGTGAAAAGAAGCCACTAGTCCTGGTGATGAAGTATGGACACATAGTCATGCTCAGATCAGCCAAGCAACTGTGGAGTGAGGGGAGCCATCTGTCCTACTGTCAAGCTAGTATCTCAATGTGTGTTTCTGTCTATTTAATAGGAACAATAGTATTTACTTCATAGGCTGTGGCAAGTTTAAGTTGAGAAAACTCTTCCAAAGTACTTGGTCTATTCCATAGATAGTATCTCCCAGCTATGGGAACCACTTGAGCTTTGGTGTAATGCAGAGTGTGCTCCAGTTCACACCCTAGCAACTTTAATCACTATTGCTTGGTGAGTTTGGGAAAGGTATTGGAAGATTTGAATAAGAAACCGGGTTGATGCCACTTCTGTCCTTGATTATGTGTAACCCCCCACTTCAGGTTTTTCTGCTTGTAAAGTGGGGGTGCCCACAGTGTTCACAGTGACAACTTACTCTGTATCTTCTCTTATCCCTTCCCATTCTTTATTCATCCAACAGGAGGTATCAAAAATTTGTTTTCACCTGGGAGAATTCTCTTTGCTTTTAAAATAAATTTTCACATAGTATATGGTGGTTCTATATGTAAAATATGTAAAAATTGTATTTTGTATTTTTTGCATTTTTTTAATATTTATTTTTAGTTTTTAGGTGGACACAATATCTTTATTTTTACGTGATGCTGAGAATCGAACCCATCGAATTGCATGCTAGGCGAGTGAGTGCACTACCACTTGAGCCACATCCCCAGCCCTGCATGTTTTTTTTTTTTTTTTTTTAATATTTTTTAGAAGTAGTTGGACACAATACCTTTATTTTGTTTRTTTATTTTTATGTGGTGCTGAGGATCAAACCCAGGGCCTCACACATGCTAGACGAGTGCTCTACCGCTGAGCCACAAATCCCAGCTCCTGCATGTTGTTTTTAAAAATTGAGCTTTAGAACATTTACTTATGTAATCAGGAGGTACAATAGGGGTGTTGTGATAAAGACAAAAATTCAGTATTAGGGCTTTTTGAAGACAATTGCATTGTTATCGTCTGCATCCAGTTTTCTCTTTTTAGTTTTAGCAGTCAAGTAGCCAGAAAGACAAATTACAGAGACAAGGAGTTGCAGATGGTAGATAGTTTACCTGACAACAAGGGCTCTTTCTAGTTAAACTGATCWGGGTGTTTTGTTTTAATATAGCTAAGCAAGATGCTTTCCTTCATTGGTGAGTGTTCATCTTGGGGAGAGATGATGAAAAAGCCTGTTAAATCTTCATTATCAGATTGAAAATGCTTTTCATGTATTATGCTGTATTTTGTATTTTTTTGGTAGTAGGTCCTGGGGATTGAATCCAGAGGGGCTGTACAACTGAGCAACACCCTCAGCCCTTTTTATTTTTTATTTGAGACAGGGTCTTGCTAAATTGCTGAGGCTGGCTTTGAACGTAATATCTCCTGCCTTAGCCTTCTTAGTAACTGGGATTACAGGCATGTGCTACTGTGCCAGGCTGCATTTC